AATTTAAAATATTTTTATATTTAATTAGTAAAATTTAATACTTAAAATTTACAATAGAAAAATAAAAAAAATGAATACGTAGAATTATAAGCCAATAGAAAAAACATATAAACGTGACAACCCTGAATCGTTATGTATTACGTACGTACGTACGTACATATGTTGCGCCTCAGACTAACGCTTGCCTCAGATCAGGGCTGTAAAGTTACCGGTAAGTTACTATGGTAAGTTACTGTAAGTTACCAAAAAATAGTAATTTTATGGTAAGATTACTGTAAGTTACCAAAAAATAGTAATTTTATGGTAACTTACTGATAACTTACCATGGTAACTTATAACCCTGCCTCAGATGCCGATTTTTGGCCAGCATTAACTGACCGACATGATTGGACTAAATTATACCCCAAAATCTTACCCTAACTTGGACCGATTTCGATATCTGATGCAAACGTTAGTCTGAGACACATATGCCATCACTATCGAACCAAAAACATTGAATCAGCCAAACTATCATTTTGTCAATTTTTGTTAGGAACACCGGAATCTTATGTTTGAAATTACTCAACCCTTTTCCAAATAGGAAATTTTAAGAATGGCGTACTCCTGTTTTTTGATATTAATAAAATTGATTACCGGTAGTCCACTTGTTTTTTAAAAAAATAAATCAACCGGCTAAGCTGATGTTTTGCTTTAACAATTCTTTTTTCATTATTGCTAAGCTGATACTTTACTTTAACCATTCTTTTTTTCATAGCTGATACTTTACTTTAACCATTCTTTTTTTCATTATTGCTAAGCTGATACTTTGCTTTAACCATTTTTCATTATCGGCAAGGGACATTAAAATCATAAACTAACTCTAAAAGAACTCATATTATACAAATTAAATGTATGTTATAATTAGACCCATATGCAAATTTTAACATATCGATGAAAAATTTTTTTTAGAAACTAAAATAAGTACGTAATAGGTATATAACTTGAAATCGTATATAGTTTGAATGATATATATCGATATACAGTATATATAATAAAATTAATACTGTATCAATAGCAAAAAAAATTTATTAAATTCATGCAATACAAAAATTTTTTTTTTTTTTAATCCTGCAGAACGAACTTTTTTGTTATAGTAACTGGATAAGAAGGCCAGGTTACCGGGCAGTTATGTTAACATTATGAGCACTTCATGCAGCCTAATAAAACATTTTAAACCATTTTTTTAAGAAGCAGGTTTTATAATAATTGATAATGCATACACAAAGTGAAAGTTATACCGCAGCTTTTTAAACAGTAGCATAGAATCAATTCGTTTAGTGAATAGATTAATTTTGATTTCCACATTTTTTTGTTTTTTTTTTTTTTTTTTACTCAGGATTAGTCTTGCCGTCTTGATGAGCGGCCTCTGGATTTCTTCCTCTTGAGTCCGGTCCAAATTTCAATTTTTGTGCTGTTACATTTGCAATCTCTTGAATCTTTTTCTTTACAGTCGTAAATGGATGACTTGTAACTGTTTCCGGGTTTTCTTTGACCTGATATTGTTTATGCGATGATACAAGGTTATCTTTGGAATCTTTATTGTTTGAAGACATTTTTCGATTATATTTTTTAAAAATCAAGAAAAAGTCCTATGTATATTGAAAATTTTTTAGATAGCTTTTATGATATCATAATGAAGTCATCATCCATTACAGCATTACAATAATATCATCATGAACAATTATGGCAATATGAGGATGTTTCTAGAAAGGTTTAAAAAAAAGTCGTACCGATAATACGTAATAGCAACAAAGTCGTATATATAACTAGAAATGCAGGCTTCACCGCCCAGTTTCAACTAAATAATTAGCACTGTAATATATAGTTATTGGATGCTTCGCATCCAATAACGTGAATTATTTGATAATGTGATGTTTTTACTGTACTAGGGATATGTCATTACCAATTATATATTTGTTAGTCATTTACTGTATAATCAATAATTAAATAAAAATTCTGCGTACTAATTAAAATTTTTTTTTGTAAAATTTGGTATAATGATACCCTCTAACACTTATTGCAAAATAACTGAAATTTTTTAGATTGCGATTCTACCCTTGTAGTTTCAATCGCTTAATTCAATCGATTATAACCTTGGCTCATGAAAATTTATCGTTATACAGTTCCCAATCCTTAGCGTTTGTTTTTCGCTTCTCCTTTTTTTAGAATTCGATATAACGATCATAAAACTTAATTTTGAATAAATATGCAAAGTTAATTAGGTTTAATATTTCTCTCTGTCTTGTTTCATTCAGTGTTTAAATCATTTACCGTTACAGACCATACCAAAGCACATGAATTCGTCATTGATTGTGCAGTAAACTGTTGGGCCAACATTTGGAAAATCATTGTTATAGTATCTTCAGACCTCAACGTCAAATTCGAAATTAGAGAATTTGTTGAAAAAGTTCGTGAAGTTTTTGACAAACTTACCTTGGATGTTGTAATCATTCGTCCGGTCAGCGAATCAAATTTTAATTTAAAATGGAGGATTGAGAAAGACGAATCATATTTTATTGTTGTCTATAAAAAAAAAAACATTAAAGAGTATTTTAAAATATTATTATCTGAAAGCTATGAAGTAAGTTTTTATTTATTTATTTTTTTTTTTTCTGAAATGTTGTCTTAATGAAATATTATTAAGTTATTATTAATTAAAATTTCTTTTTTGTTTCAGGCTCAACAATTGATCGAAAGATCACCCATTTATTTTTATAGCAAACGCGATCCATATTATGAATTCACAAATTTTTTTCCAATTCCCGTTATAATTGATGGCGACAAATGGCCAACAACAGAAAATTATTGTATGTAGTTTTATAAATTTACTAATTTTTCAGCCAAGATTAAATTAATTTTTTGATTTATTTGTATATGCAGTTCAAGCTCAAAAGTTTGAATATAAAAATATTCATAATGAAATTCGAGATGCACGGTCGGCGAGAGATGCTTTTAACATCAGTCGACACTACAACCATTATAAACGTCGCAATTGGGAGCATCGGATACCAGAGACAGGAGAAATTTTTAAAGAAAAAGTAATGCGAACCGCAGTAATGGCTAAATTTGGTCAACATGAACGTTTAAAATACATGTTACTGTCAACTGGAAACATACCACTTCGCGAACACACAAAAAATGATTTATACTGGGGTGATGGTGGTGACTTTGGAGGAGGACAAAATAAATTAGGATTGATCTTGCAGGAAGTGAGGGAAATTTACATGTTAAAAGAAGTTCAAAAGATTGCGAGTAAATATGGAAGAAATGATGAAAAATGGTTTGTAGGTGAACT